GCGCCGGGACCTCGCCGCGCACGCCGACAGGGACCCGGGAGTCGGTGGGCTCCTGCGAAACGCGGGTCTGAATTTGCGTGTGCGATGGGGGTAACCCCTCCCCACCCCCCGAAGGGCTGCCACAGCTTGACTTGTTCGTAACTTGCCTTTGGCAAACCAAGCCCCCCTCAAACCTCTGCGTAGGGGACAAATATTGCGTGTGCTTAAAGGGCCGTAAAGGTGATTAAAGCGGGCTGAACCCGCTCGCTTGGGAGGGAGGTTCAGCGCCTGGGTGCAGGGGGAGCCCGGCCTGAGGCGCGCTGAACCCGCTCAGGTGCGGTGCCTTGGTGCCTGCCAACGACTGCAGGTTTGAAAAATAAATACGAGGAGAGCCGAGAGGCGAACTTCAGGCCAGTAACACCTCTCTGCATTGACAAATACTCTGGAAAAGGTACAACTCTTTTCAAACTCGGTTTTGAAAGGCATCACTGCGTTCTCTGCTTAATTGAAGCTCTTATAGCTTTCTCCTGTTGAATTAATTATGCCTGTGACCGATGAATTTCCATATTTTCATATAAAGTGACAGCTCTGATTTCTGTTAAGGCAATCTGAGCGTAAGTGTTCTACTGAATTTGTTCTTTAATGAGAAACATCAGAAGGATTTAGATGTAATTGCTATTCTTTATGCTTCAGCAGTGAAGGCAGCGGGGTTTTTGCATTGTGGAAGGATGTAGCACTGTATTTTCCTGTCTAAAGGTTTATTGTGTATTCGCTTCCTTCAGCCTTTTACTGCGCGATACTTGTTTTCAGTTCAGTGGCATGGTGACAGGTACGTGTTCTGATATGTTTTGGCATGAAGTGTTCAAAATGCTTAGTGGCTGCATTACAGCTAGTAAAAACTAATTATCCATTTCAGTAGCCAACTGAGTAAACACAGAGCGTCTTCAGAACTCTGTAATCCATGTTCATCTAGCATCCGTAATAGAAACATCTCCTTCCCCTCATGGGCAGTTGGTTCATGCGGTGGTGGCTCAGTATTGCTAAGTTTAGTTTCTGTTTCATGCTTCATAGCTTGAACAGTAATCCATAGTTTTATATTTTGTTTTTGTTGAAGGGGGGAAAAAGAGCCACATAATTAGCTCACCCGTATCTCCTATTCTGACCAGTCTGCAAATAGGTTATTGATGGGAGTTTTTGATTCTGCCCTCTCTTCCCCTGTCTCTGCCTGCAAGGTACATATCCCATTAGCAGCAGCAATATAACCCTCTTCACTATCTATTAATCCAGCGAACCAAATCTGAGGCTGACAAGCAATTTAATTTGCACATCAGTTAATTTGCCAACTTTTTTCTGGGTTGGACAACAAGAAGATGTCATATGATATGGATAACAGTTTGCATACTGGTGATAGTGAACTTCATCTAGACAGCAGTATGTCTGAGTACAGCCTAGCCAGAGGAGAATAGAGAATTTAGTGACTGAAGGTACTGTTGCACAGGACCAGAGCTGTGACATCCCTTTTCTGTCAGTTTTTCTTCATCTGTCTTATCACAGCATTTAGGAACCTTCATTATGGGCTAGGTTCTTGCTGTGCTCAGTGTCGCATCACTGAGGCTTTTTACTGTGGGCTTTGCAGGGGGCGTCCATAGATCACAGCTAAATGATTAAAGAAAATGACAAAGAAAAAATGATTATCAGCTGGTTATGTGGGAATCCGCATCTGGCGAAAAGGGCAGTTACTGTATTGCACTTCTCTAAACAGGGAAGTTTTAAACTTATTTTCATCCTCCTGGAACTAAACGTTAGTGAAGGAAACAAAAAGTGTTCAAGTCATGTAATTCCTTGTCATCTCCTCCAGCCTTCAGCACAACTATGTCAGCTACTTTTTGGGATCCTGTGCAATTCATGAGACCGGATGATTTCCCTGTCTAGAGAAATGAGTACCCCTTATAGATCCTACTCTGTCTCCTGCTAAAAACACTGTTAGTATCCATGCTTCAATTTCCACCTGTATGTCAGCTCGAGTCAAATCGTAGGCTAGCTGCTTGTGAGAGCGGACGTGGCTGAGACTACTGTCTGTCCTGCTGTAATTGACCAAAAACTTCTGTATGTAGTATTTGCTGATAAACTAAAAGCAATGTCATAGTGGCACAACTCACTTTGCTAATCTCACTAGAGATATTTTGTTAAATTGCTCTTTACTTTAAAATGAAAAGTCTGTCTGGTCTCTAGAGTAAGCTTTTGGTTTCGTTTGCTACCTCACCAGCAGTGTGCTGTTAAAGCAGGGGCACTTCTCAGTCCTCTTTCCTCTTTGTGCCTGGGATAAGACTGGTTTGAGTTTGCAGAGAGGGAGGGGTGAAGACAGTGATTTGTTTAAATAAAAATAATACGCAGCAATTACCTTATGTTAACTGGTGAAAGAGATGATACTACCTAGCAAATATAATGAGCTAAACTCTTTGTGTATGATTCGTTTTGGAATCTTCAGAATACCCAGGTCAAATGATAGGCATTTGGCTGAAACATTCCTGAGAAATATACTGGTTGTGTAGTCAGCAAAGGCTTCGGTTTGCATAAATATAACTTTCCCTGGAAACTTTTGAAATGTTCATTGATCCTGATACTTGGTGTGATTTATTTTGTGCTAAAGAAGATAAACGTATGTAATAGTCATACATAATTCTACGAGTTCAGCACATAAAATGTTTTGGATGTCATTCTGGAGAATAAGAAAAGGAAATAATTGGAGTGGATGAGAAGCCAAGAACGTGAACCTTCCCTCAATTTGGTCTTGGACTTCTCCCTGCAGCATCTTCCTCACATCTGAAGGTTCTCAGACCCCTGAGAGGTTAATGGTAGTAACTATTTTTTGTTGTCTTTTTTTTTTTTAAATAAAACTTGTGAATATAAGTGCTTCGTGAGCTTAAACGAGCTCTCAGATCCTAAAACCTCGTTGTTGCTTGTTGTCATCTTCAGTGTTTACAGACGCTGAACTGTGGGTTTACCCTGTAGGGATGCTGTAGACAAGTTCCTGAGACTTTGTGAGAAGGGAGGAGATAGGCATTGAGTGTATGTGTACATTTCTAAATAACCTCGTGTTGTTTTAAGCATGCATTAGGCAGATACAGTTGAGTCACGATGGGTAGCCTCTGAATAGGCAGGCAGGCATGTTTCTGCAAGCCTTACCATCTCCTGCTTTTTCTGACCTGAATTTCTACTTGTTGTTGGTAAGCTGTGTCTCGAATTCCAAGCACTTCTTTGTAGGACTGGGGAGGCAGGCTTTGCTACTCCTCCCTGATAAGGACAATCAGTGTTCTTTTGTGCTTAGGAGAAAGGCTACTTTAAAATTAGCGTTTACTTTTCTCCCTCAGCAGTGCTTCACTGTTTTCAGGAAATAGTTTGTGCCCTCGTTTTTTCATCAAATCATTCCAAGGTGACTGTAATTTAATGTGTTTCACATTTTCCAGTCTATCAATAAAAATTTATACTTGTGGTACTGTACTATGTATTGACTCAGATAAATAGTTTTCAGTGTTTTCAAGCAGCTCTGCTTTTGACAGGAAGCTGGTAGTATGAGCTAAGTAACTCTATGCCTGGAATTCCTACAGTTATCTAGAAATGCCAGATGAGAGGAGACTTCAGTCCTCTTGCAGGCAGAGGACTGAAGATCAGGTAAGGGGAATGTCATTGAAGAGCTTTGAAATAATGGAGAAACTTCAAACAACTGTGTCACTTGTACTTTCTCCTCTGTGGTAATAATTTATTGCCTTGGAGCTTTATCTGTTAAGCTGAATGGGTGTTATAGGGAATTTACTGAAATAATGGAATGGCAGGTAGAATCTCCTCTGACCACTGAGAGATGCAAAACACTTTCCCATTGAAATTTTTATGTGTTCATGAGATGTGAAAATCACATAACTGAAATTAATTCCATTTACTGTACAAGCGCAAGTGCTGCTCAGCCACATTCTCCTTGAGAACATGTTTAGGGGGACAGGAAGGTTTGGGGAGAACAGCACCAACCTGAAACAAATAGACTTTTTTAAATGACCAAAACTTGGACTTTGACTCTTGCTACTGAAGAGAATTATGGGTTTTTTACTAGAAAGCTTGATAAGATAGGGGCAGTTATAGTTAAACGGTTTCTATAGCAAATATTGGTTTTATGAGACCCAAGCTTTGCTTTTGTTTAAGCGCATTATGCAGGTCAAACGAGCTGGAGTTTTTGTTTCCTGGAATGACTTTAAATCACAGTATAAAACATCAGAATGTCAGAATAATTGCAGTCATGTTTGTTTGGTTCACATGTTGTTGGATAATGTAATGAAGACAAATACAATGCTAAAATTCTTAAGGTTAAGCTTGTCTCCTAGCGATAATGATGAATTTTAACTCCACCCTTGTTTGTACAAAGTCATTGTAACTCAACATTTCTCGTAGCACTTCTCAGGAAGAATGTGCTTCTTGTTGAGAGGTGTGGAATAAATTAGCTTAGAGTATGTCACATCTAGAATATCCACCGTCTAACAAGTTTTTTGCCTCTCTGTGCCCCAAGAGCACAGCAGTCAAAATCAAAAGTGATTTGGTTGAGTGATATGAGTGCTTTTTCTGAAAATTGTATTAGTTATGGTAGTCATTTGGAGGGATTTACAACTTGTTGCATGTGATTTAGGGAAATTCAGCTACCTATGATATAAAATATTAAGCTTTGCATTATCGTGATTTTTTAATATTAGAACTTTGTAAAATCGGATCATAGCAGCAGGTAAGTTAACT